CCTAAGCCGGAGAAAATGGGAAGAAAAAAAAAAATTAAAAAAAATCATTGAGATCAGCCCTGTAGGCCTGATGTTAAAGCGGACAGTTCTCTCTTCATGAAATTGAACCTGAAGAATGAATTTAAACTTGGTTTCTCAGGAAAAACTGTGATTTCCATACAGCTGTTATTCCAAAGAAAAACCTCCCAGACTTCAGCCACTGCAGAGCCCATACCTGCTAATGTATCTTCCTTTCCCTCTCAAAAATAATACAGAAAGAAAATGTTTCCACATCATCTAGTGTTGATGGCATGTTAGGTTGCATCTCTTGAATAAATTAGTGGCAATAAAAAACACCTTCACACATTTTGGGGAAACTCTTCGTATTTCTCCCGAGAGCAGTGTTTGAAAGCCTGTCTTGCTATGAAGCAAGATTCTTACATTAGTAGTTAGATCTTATGCCAGGAGGCGGGTGAATTTATGTTTAATTTACGTAAGTGGTAGAATACGTCTATAATTTAAAACATCAAAAATAAAGATTATATACAGCAAACTAGTGTATTAGAGAATATTGCAAATTATATAAATGAAAAAGCCTAATATTTCTTGAAGATTGCAATACTGTTAGAGGTTAATTTTTAATTTGCTTTTGAAAAGAGATTTAGTGGACAAGGAGCTGAAACAGTCTTTAGTTAAACTGTTCAAATTTCAGATCTCTAAGAGGAAATGGGCTTGCCATGAGTGGTATCTCAAACCACTTCATTTTTTCCTAAAAACAATACAGGACTGCAACCTATTTGTACACGTCAAAAACCCATAAGCAGATCTTTAAAAATCATTGCCTCTTATAATTTTCACTTAAGGCATGGTTTTGTTTTCCTTGCCGGAATTCAGGGGAACACAGTCAGGTGAAACAGAATGTTTTAAACTCAGCTCAGGTCTTGATGTTTGTTCTCACTTGCATATTCCCTCATATTAGTGGATGAGTGAAACTGTAATACCATAATACTTTGTTCTGAAACACTGAACCTTTTTTATTTTCACTTGAAGACAACACATGGGACCTTACTGTACTCCCACTGTGCATTCAACTTTTAATTGGGGTATTAGATTTATAATACCTTCTTCCATGTTTAATTGGTGAGGCAGTTCTGACTTCTTCAATGTTGTTTTTCTTTCACAAACTATTTCAGTGTCAGATTTAATAGACTCAGTAAAGATACTGTACAGTAATTGCCTGTAATGATCATGTAAGCTTTTGAAAGCAAATTGTCAGAGAAAACATCCCTTTGGGTGATCACTGATTTGCTGGAAGTGTACCAAAAAAGAAAAGTATTGGACAAACATAAAAGCAAGGCTTTTCTTATGGATATCTGGAAATTTCTAAGCCAAATAAGCTGGTTAACAATTCGGAAACAAAAGAAAACAAAAGAACTCCAAATGAATTTGTAGTTATAATATCATGATTACTTTTTAATTTTAGCCAGATAGACAAGTGTGGTTCAAAGACTAACCTCAAATCCAGCCTGGCAGCTTTGTTGATGATTTCTTTTTTTTTTTTTTTTTGGTCAATGAATGGTTTATTCGAAACGGAAAACAAGGACAGTCATTGTTTTTAACCTGAGCCATGGATGAAATTCATCAATCACCCATTGAGAAGAAATAAGATCATGTGAAATCACGTTTAGTTTAATTGTGATTTAATGGAATAATTTTTAAAGGACACATATCACAGGCACTGATGTTTGTTACTGGAAGCTAGTACTTTGAACTTGAGCAGTTCTATCTGTATATGTAAATAGGCATTTGAATTGTGAGTCTCCTACAGTTATCTCATTTAATAGCTTCATTACTCTATGTTTTAGAATGGTTTCTGTTGTGATTAAGAAAACCGTGTGACCTTTGCATTAACATTGTATACATTGCTTCCAAAGGGATTCACAGGACCTGACGGCTCACGTGGAGCCACAGGACCAAAAGGACAGAAGGTAAGAACAAAATCAATCATGAAATTATGGGATCTTTTTTTTTTTTTTTAAGCAGGATTTTTGTTTGACTCTGTGCAATTAATTATATGCTGCAGCCTTTCTTACAATATTAAAACATCTATAGAATACAGACCCGTTGGGCCCTTTTCACACAATACAAAGCAGCATCCAGCCAGCGGTAAGGAATGGTGGCATTACATTGGTGACATTAAGGCTGAGCATCTTTAGTAATGGTGAGACTCTTTTCCATCTTGTACTGTAATTATGTCATAGTAATACTCAGTGGGAACCAGAACAGTGACAGCTGACTTCATCAGCCATCAGACAAATGAAATATGCATCAGAAGTCAGAATAACCAGCATGTTTGAATGAAGGAGACCAGCTTGTTTGAGTGAGGGGAGACCTTATCGCCCTCTACAACTACCTGAAAGGAGGTTGTAGCAAGGTGGGTGTTGGTCTCTTCTCCCAGGTAACAAGTGATAGGACAAGAGGAAATGGCATCAAGTTACACCAGGGGAGGTTTCGATTAGACATTCGGAAAAATTTCTTCACTGAAAGAGTTATCAGGCACTGGAATGGGCTGCCCAGGGACGTGGTCGAGTCCCCATCCCTAGAGGGATTTAAAAGATGGGTGGACGAAGTGCTTTGTGACCTGGTTTAGTAGTGGACAGGTACGGTTGGACTTGATGACCTTAAAGGTCTTTTCCAACCAAATGATTCCATGATTCTATGAGGTTTTGGGGGTAGAAAAAAAGGCCTACAGCTGTATCTTTTAAATATTGAAAAGTCTTTCCTTTTTATCAAGTCTCACTGAAACCAGCATAGTGTTAATGAAGTGAATAATGCTTGCAGATTATGTCCACTAAATGATACCCTCCAAAAGGTGGGAGCATCTTCCTGTATGTTGTTTACAAAACTTTATGGTAATGTATCTTGAAAAACTCAATTTTCATCTTTTAAAGGGTGAGCCAGGACTGCCAGGTGCTCGTGGACTTCCAGTAAGTAACACGTTTAATATATGAAGAGGCTTTTTAGACCTTAAGTATCAATATGAAAGATTTGTACTGTTAAATGTAGTGAAGAAAAGCCAGAAACTATTTCTGAGGTTTCAAAGAACTCATAAGATACTAAAGCAGTACATGAAAGAACCTTTTTGTCTTTATATCAAAGTGTGCAGGCATTACTGAAAGGACATTTTTGGTCTGGATGCTGTGGAAAAGAAAGGAGCATGTGTGATGTGGCCACAAGTTTTGGATGCATACCGTTGTTTTCCACCTCTTTGTGAAAATGCTGCAGACACAGGAGAGCCTATGTTTTATTTGCATAAATTAGTCCACAGTTATTTGAGCTCCTTGCCATGCATTTAAATGGGATCACTGAAGTGTAAATGCTGTATGGGACTTCCTGTGCTGTTCCATGTGAAAACAAAACAAAATACGAGAAGGGACGTGCAAAGAGTACTGTTCTAGTTGGCCTGCAGATGGATTTAACATGCATCTTTGGGGGCTGAAAATAATTGTGAATTTTAGGAATTTTACAGGGTTGAAGAAGTGAATGATTGTTGGCATGCAGAAACTTAGATTATATAGGAAACCAGAAAAAACTGCAAGGAAAATGAGTAGTGGAACACTATGACTGGCATGAGATTGTAACAGGGCTGCACATAATTAAAATTTAATTAAAAATCAGATTAATTTTGGAGAAATTATTGGAATTAAATAGAAGAGGTATTGTATTCTGATATAGCACTCCTTGCTGTGAAATTCTGTTTCTTTGACTGTATCTTTGTATTTTTGACCCTGTCCCATTAACTTTCATTAAATTTATATTAAACAATGATTTTGATATTTAGCCAGAGAGGAAATTATAATGTCATTTCTGAAGTCATTACATTATAGACATGTTCAAACTTAAGATGAATCATTCTATATGGACGTTTGTGTTCAATTTTTATGGATGCTGTTTCTTGCCTGAAAATCTGGAAAATAGGTAATACTTTTATAATGGCTGGTCAATCTGTAGACTCAATATATGAGCTAAATTCAGTCACAGAAAATAGCAGATCCGCGGTAGCTTCCAGCTAGACTGAAAGCTCTACATTCTTTTGTTAGGGGTTTGAGTTTTTCTGTTTATTTTAATTTTTTTTTTTGCTCTCAAGTAGATGGGAAAATAATTTCTAGGTTGTTTGGAATGCATTTTAAAAGGTGCAGCTGGAATGAAGAGGTAGCTTAACTCTGTCAGATACGTTACTCAGATGATGTGGAAAAAAGCGTACATGAAAAGAACTACTATGGGAGGGGAAAAAATGGGGAATTAAAACAATTACTGAAATACTAGGTTAAAATACTGTAGTAAATGATGTGGAAAAAAGTGTACATGAAAAGAACTGCTATGGGAGGGGAAAAAATGGGGAATTAAAACTGAATTACTGAAATACTAGGTTAAAATACTGTAGTATTTTAGCCTGTCAACTGAAATAAAAACTGGCTCGGGGAAAATATACATGATTTTACCTCACTATTAACAGAGTAATGTGAGAATGAATAATTAAAAACCCTTCAGAAAAAGTATGTGTACAAAATATACATAAAGAGTGTTAATCTCAATTCAAAAGTGAAGATGTTACTATGGGAAAGCAGCAAACTGGACCACCTTGTCAAGGTAGAATGCCGATTCTGTTCAGGGCAGCACTTACCTGATTCAGGTCTTTTGTGACCATGTTTTGAGACTGTAAAAGCAATAATTCTGAAGAGATTTTAGACCATTCTTCAAAGTTTACCAGGCTTTGTTTGCCCTGAGACTTTCAGTCTTAAGGTGATAACGCTTCAGTGAACCTCAGTAGGGATTGCCTTTGGAGTTGTTCTGCCTCTGCTTAATAAGCAACTGGACCTTGTATTTAAAGGTGAATCTGCAGGAATGTTTATAATGAGGAAACGAGAATTCTTAGTTATTTAAAGGTAAAGAAAAGACGGATATACTTAGTCACCTTGTGTCACTACCCTTGTAATTATTAAGGTTAAGGTTAATCCTTAGACCTCACATTTTAGGAAGAAGCCTAGTGTTTGATTTTTGTAGCTCCATGGTTGTTAACCCATATGTGCTGAATCCATATGGAAAGATTAATGCTCAAAATAAATCTCTTGGGGAAATTCCTATTATACAGGCTTTCCTTTTGATGAATGGCTTTAAGCTGCTGAAGAAATAGAGCAGCTAGTGGAAGTTTCTCAAAATGGCCAATACCAGTCATCTCGCCTTTAGTGAGATTAAACTTAGAGTAATGAAACCTAATTAAAAAAAAAAAAAGAAGAAAAAGAAGGGTAGGAGTGGTAGTGCTGGAGCGTGAAGGTTCTAATTTTCAGATTCAGAGACTTTTTGGGATGCTTTTACTACAAGTGTGAAGTAATGGAGCTGCTTAACCTTTCAGGTCTTTGGCTTGATCCATGAGACCCCATTTTGTTAGAAACATAGTGAGCATGCTTATGAGTCTGTATGCTGGTGACATGATTAATTGAGTATTTAGGTGTAATTAGGCACTCCTTTGAATTGAGTGGCCTTTTGCAAGTGGAGTAGTCTCTGGATGGTTATCCAAAGACTTCATTTCTCACAAAAAAACCCTTAAATTGTTAAAAGTGCTCAGTGCAAACAGAACGTCAGAAGCCTTGGCTACAACATTACTTAGTTTTAAATTATTATCACTGTTTTTCAAGCTCATCCTGTGGAATTTATTGGTCAAGTTAGGACTTCAGGGTAACTGAAAGAAAGAATATTAAGTATCTAAAGTTTTACATACAGCATTTGCTTTTATGCTTCTGTAACCCTTTCTTCCCCAGAATGTATCCTGGCCATCTTCAGCTATCTTCTTTTACTCTCTCTTTCCTCTATTTTTTCCTGCTTCATCATTCAGTTTGAATTTATTTTCTTTGTCTCATCTCATTTGTGGATTTTCTCTCAAATGACAGATTTACAAAATTAGTAGAATACTTCTGTAATTTACCACCAAATTGTACTTCAAGTAATTTACCACCGAATACCGTGATGTCTCTGATCTGGCCCTGGTAAATGGACCTGGGCATGTATTGCACCCTTCGATCCATTCTCTCTGTTAAGTTCCCTGTAACTTTTCTGTTAGTGGTTATATTGCTAGTGTTTTACAGATCTGACATATGGGTAGGGTTGTGTGTATTTAGTGATAGAGAAATTGAAAATATTTTAAGGTCTACTAAAGCACAGCTTCTGGCACAGGGTACACATACAAATACTGGTATGTGACTCTTTGTGGTGGATGGCAGCAGGTCCGCGTTGACAATGTGGAGGTGCTTACCATAACTACAGGGTGAGTGTCTCTGAACCAGGTGATTACAGACTCTGGGTTACTGCCCGTGCACTGCTCCGTGGGTCAGTTGAGCACCTCCAGAGCAGGTGGCAGGTACCCAGGGATGTAAGGTCACAGTCCCAGGCTGCGTGGAGAGGCTTCCTCTTTAGGACAGAGGCAGAGGCAGGAACATGGGCAGCAGGTCAGGATCATTAATGGCTCTGTGTAGCTCCCCAGTTTGGTCTGTTTGCAGGGAGTTCATGGCCAGAAGGGTGGCATAGCTGGGTGAGTGGGAGGCATGGATTGCTGGGGGACAGCTGCGGCTTCTGGGAGTCTTAATTAGGAGGGTGAGGAGATGCAATGGAGTGGGCAGAGGTGCGGACTGGCTTCTGGGCCCATGTGTGGGCTGGACACAGTAGCTGTAGCTGCTTCTTTTGGTATTACTGACTTTTCCTACCACTGTTAGGGGCGCAAAAGCAAGGGGGGGTGTTCCAGTGGGGACCTGCAATTAGTTGGTTTCTTTCTTTCAGAGGCAGGTGATGTTATAATATCAGATATGTGATGCAGTGAAAGTTTGATGTGTACAGTCAAATATAGACATGTATAATATAATGAGTTGCCACAAGGGAGTGTTAAATAATAGCAAAGGAATTATGTAGGTTATACAAGATGAAAAAGTTTACTTTCTGCAGTGTATTAAATGGTTAAAATGGAATGACAAATGCCTGAAATTTTCCCTGTGTTATACCAAGATTTCTAAAGACAACCTTGCAGATACAATCCTGGTATGATATTCTGTGGCTTTTAAACTCCACTTGGCCCAGGTGCCTTATTACGTCCCATCTGAAGATTTAAGTATGTTTGTGGTTGTATATGCCAGTGTTTCATACACATCATTGACACTGTTCTCCATAAAATTATCCATTTGCTTTAGTAATGCAAGTCTGAGGGATCTGTTTTCTTAGAGGCAGTGTTTTGTCCAAATAGGCAGAAACACATTTTTATCTTGGGCACATCTCATTAAAACGATTCAGAGCGATACTGACAGAAAATGTAAACAGGAGCAGTTTGGTGTTCTTTCTGATTACCAGAAAGCTCTAGTTTAATGGATTTGGACCTTGCAAAGCACTGGCAAAGAAATTTTCTCTTTTATTATCAATTTAAGTACACTATTAGAAGGAAGCATGGATGTGTTTATCACAGTACTTGGTAATTAGCTAAACCCAAAGGCTTTAATGTCCTCATTCCTTTGTGGAAGTATATGTGTTTGTAAATATGTGTAAATAAATGCTACTGCAAAGCAATTTAATCAATAATATAATTTTTCTTCTGTTATTGATTACCTAATAATAAAATTGGTGTTTAACATTAGTTAAAAAAGCTTTCAAAATGATTTTGCAGAATCAAAGATCAGGTTTTTTGTACCTTTTTATCTCAAATACTCTGTTCTTGGCAAACAGCTTGACTAGGTGTGGAAGTCTCCCCACATTTCTGACCTTTTTTGTATTTCACAGGGCAAGGGGCTTCTTGGACCACCTGTAAGTGTAATTTTTGCAATTCATAAATATACTGTTTAATGAATCTGTTTAAATATTCAATAAAGATGTTATACTGTAATAAAAAGTAATTAAGTGAAAAAAGAAACTTTTAATCCTGCTGCTCTGTGTATGTTATGTATGCTTTCTTCAGCTACTACTGAGGTTGCTTAGTCTATGGTATATGGGGCAAGAATACTGGTGTCTGAAGGCATTGTTTGTTGTTTGAGAGAATTACATGTTCTCACTCCTTGGATGCTTGTTACAGAGGTATTGTGTGGTCTAAAAATACTATTTAACTTGGTTGTTACAGGGTCCAGCCGGTGCAGCAGGACTTCCTGGGGAAGTAGGTCGTGCTGGTCCACCTGTAAGTACTACCATGTTTGCTAAAAATGTAGGTTTATTCAATTGCTATAAGGTACTTCTAGAAAAACGAATAACTACTCTGCCATCTAAGCACTATTTGGGTTATAACAGCACTTGAAAACATGGGGTTTTTTTCCTCTACAGTGACCACTGGTAGAGGAAAGACTGTTTGAAGCTCATGAGAAATAAGGAACAATTAATAGCACGAAGTCAGGGCCACCCCTTAAATTAGAATTAAATGTTTCATAGAGTGTCCCATATGCCACTTTTTCACTTATTCAAGGAAAGGTAAAATCAAAAAGCAAACCTGCCAGAAATATAGGAAATGTAAAACTTAACATTACATGCAGACCTTTAGCTTTACTCTTGTCTTCTCACATATACATTTTGGTGCATGACCACATACTATTTCTGTTTTTCATTTGCATATCAGTAAACATGGCAATTCAGTATTTCTTCTTAGTCTCATTTTAAGTGTGACTCCATGTATTGACCTTGCGGCTAACTTGTGCACTCGGTTTCAGCACTCTGTCATATTTTGACTCCATACTTTACCAGTGAAATGCAAATTGAAACTGATTGTTAAATTTTTGCCTGAAATTGAAATAGCATCAAGATTTTGTTTAATGAAGCCTACTTTTTAATGCATACCTCTTCCTGTGTGTTGGACTCAGTCATATAAATGAATATAAAAAAGACTTAAAACCTTCCAGTTTGTTTCAGAAGATGATCCATTTAGCTCACTGTCTTGTGTCAGTAGAAAAGGCAATAATGGATACCTAGGGAAGTGTACGGGCTATTTGTAAAATGACACTTTTCTGTCATACTGTCCCACATTCTGGCAGTTGGCAGTTCAGAGACTGCCTGAATCAAAAATTGCATCTGTGCTGCCTTTTTCAAAAGCTATATATGAGCCTGTCCTCAATTAATGTAGTCATTCCCTTCTTGAATCCATTTATGTCATGGGCTTCCACAACATGTTGTGATAGTGAGTCCCACAATGTAATTATACATTGTGTGGAAAAGAAATACTCCTTTTCAGTATTTTTAAACCTATGGCTCTAGAGCTCATGCGTTGTGGGAATTAGTGAATAATTCTTCTTTATGAATCTTGTTCATTTCATTTATGATTTAGTAATATCAAACATACTATTGAATGACAGTATTAAGTTAGAAGGTGGTCCCTGTCAGAATATTAGATTTATTTTAATTAAAAGCATTCAGAAAAAATAATTTGCAGAGGTTCTGTGTTGTCTTTACTGCTGAAAGCACCACACATCAAAACTTCACTAAGAGGAGAAGTTTCTAACTTGGTAAATTCATCCTGGACTCTGAAAAGGGGCATCTTTTCCTCTCTGTGCTTTGGATATTTTTGCCAGTTATTAGGATTCTTTTAATTCAGTACTTAATTAGCAGTTATGAGATAGAAGAGTGCATAGATGATCCTGTGGTCTGATGTTTCAACTTTCTAAGACAGCTGAAAAGTAACTGGTTTTTGTGACTCCTATTCCACAACATTGCTCCCATTCTACTAAAAAATTGGTTTTCCCATTCTACTATGGGAGCCATGTTGTGGGTTTAGATTTTAGTTGGCTACCTAGCCCGGTCTTCTGTAGCTACTTAATTTCTCACTGTTGTTGTGTGGTATGAATATGTAATTGATGGTTGTCATTATTAATATGAATCAACAAAATTACTTTACCCTTTTTTAGGGAGATCCAGGAAAAAGAGGGCCACCAGGGCCACCGGGACCCCCAGGCCCTCGGGTAGGTGATTGCCTTTAATATGTGCTGTCGTGTCTGAATTACGTATTGTTGCTGCTTGAATGAAACTTCTTCTCTAGCTGAGTCCTACAGCTGAATACCAACTTTATGATTTCAGCAGGCTATATTAATTCATAATGTCTAGAGGTGTGTGTTCAAAACCCAATATACACGCATTTCATTATATCAACATTTGATCTTTCATTTAGAAAGCAAGTTTCTAGTCTTTCTAGTTATAAAAGATAGTTTGAAATATAAATTGTGTAACTTCTGTCATGACATCTTTCCTTTTCCGCAAATGGTTTAAACTGTGACTTTTACAGGTTTTAAACTTCCCTGTGCGTTCTAGTATTACTGTAAATGTAGTTTTTGGATCTCACTAGTAGTACTTGAGCAGAGGTAGACTTTTCTGTTTGGAGGAGAAAAATTTAATATTTGGCTCATGAGCCAGAAATATATGCTCCCAGGTGGGTTAATTTCTAATGTCTTTCTTGCAACCAGGCCTGCTACTTGCAAGGGATATAAGAAAGCTTTACATTGGTGCTTTGCCTCTCTAGGGGAATGGTTATCTTCTCTGAGCCTCTTGGGAGGAGGGATGTGTGTTGTGCCTTTGTCTTGTGGCTATTTACCTGCCCAGAGAGATAAAGCTGAGTGTCTGGCAGACACAGTGGAGGCTGGGTGCCATGAAATGCAATCTGCTGGAAAATGCGTTTGTGTCATACTAGTGTCTCTTTAAAAGCTGTACTGTTCCTCTGCTGGACAGACCCTAAATCCATATGCATTATTTATGCCATATTTTTTGTTTTCATTAAAGTTGCCAGAGAGTTGACAGAGACATTGTAAAAAATGTGAATGGTAAAGTGGAGAAGAGTATTTAGGAAACCAGTTTAAAATTAGTTCCCAATAATGACGTATGCTGCTTCTATTCCTTGACAGTTTTGTCCTTTTTAGATTTCTGAAGTGCCACAATCCCACTCCAACTGATGACATTATGGACCCAAACATAACCTCACCTTTTTTAAATCCTTCTGTATAAAAGAAGACAAGCTCCTTCCTTCAACTCCCCTGTGCTTTTCTCTGAAACAGTGTGCTCCCTCTCACTAGCCTTTAAAGAATTCAGCTGCTGCTGTGAAATCACATTTCTTCCTGTTCATAAGCCTCATAAGCCTTCCGTTAGCTTCCACCAAGTATTTGATTTAATATGAGGAATGACCTTCCCCCCACTGAGTCCATCTTGTTGTACACTGATCTCTGGTTTATTGCAATTCTACTAACTGCCAGACATCTCACTCATCTACCAACACTTGTGTTATGGGAAGATTATTTTCTCTGTAAAGATCTGAATCTTTTGCTGAATAGTAGTAAGTTGGAAAAGTAGAAGTTATTCTTCTTACAGAAATTGAGTTGGGTTAGGTTGGAAATTTATGGGGTTTGGATATGTGCTCTATGTTTAATAGAGAATATGTTTTAGGTAACTTAAAAAACAAAAGAAATATTTTGTTTTTCAGAAAAAGTTAGTCTAAGTTAGAGGATAGGAGTTTGCAGGTACAATAAAATCCTACAGTTTAGGGGCTTTTCATGTCGGAGATCCTTTGGTTGATTATACTTCTGATTCCAGCTTCAGATAGTAGTATTTTCCGTTTTCTCTAATGACTATATTGTCTAATGAGTCAGGTCTGGTTATTTCTCTCTTACTGACTTGATTAATTTCATGTGATCTAGGGAACAATCGGCCTGCAAGATGGTGATCCATTGGTAAGATAGTTGTCCACATTTTTTAAAAATAATTTCTGACAACCTTATTCAACCTATGTGGTACTAACTATGTGGATGCTTTTCCAGTGTCCCAATGCTTGTCCGCCTGGCCGCCCAGGACACGCTGGCTTAATGGGAATGAAGGTAAGAGAATCTGTTTGTTCAAGGCATTCCTTACAGAGATGCTGTCTCAGAGCACAAGGGAGGGTAACTGCTGGCTTGACAGAAGGGCAGTTCACTGATGATTTCAAAAAATATTGTATCAGTGTGGATGCTTAGAGTTATTTCAACTCCAAAAAAACCTCTCGTTGAAATCTCTTACTGCTGCTGTAATCTTCAGGGTAAAATTTATGTGTGGTCCTGGAAGGATTAGAGTATGTGAAGGATTGCTTTATTTACTTTGCAAACCAGTAGTCTGATGACTCCAGAAACTAAATATTCTCTCAAATCCTTAGTCTTTTTTCCTTCTCTTTTCATGGGAGATCTGTAACATACTAAATTGAAATGAACAGGTTTTGAGTCTCATTTTTATCTAAGATTTTTTAATGTATTCTTCGCTGGTTTCTGTCAATACTGTTGGCCTGAGGAAATTGTTATGGGGTAGCCTAGGAAGAAATACTAACCTTTTCTAAAAACCTGTCTAACAGTCCTGCTATATTCAGGAACAGATCTTTTTGAATGTGGTGCTTAATATGTGCTGTTAACAGGATAGGTGAGAAAGCATTTGAATCGCAGAGGGAACAGCAAGGCAGTTCTGAGGAGTCTCTGTCTGTTTTGCAAAACTCTGTATTTTGATTTTTAATAATCTCTAATTATTTAATTTGGTTTTTATATTTACTTTAGGGACAGAAAGGTTCAAAAGGAGAGTCTGGTGAACCAGGAAAACAAGGTTATAAGGTAAAAAAAAACAAAACCAAAAAGATGAAAAAACTGCTGTTGTTAGCAAGCTAATAGTAGTTGAGCCTTGTCTTCAAACACGGTATTAGATTTTGTTAGAACTATTAACTGTTTTACCAGAATGCATGAAGAGAGAGTACATATCATATCATAATATGCCAGAGTAACCAAAGGCACATCTCTATTCTTCATTCACCTGTACTCTGTATTTATTGTGATGCAGAAGTCAGTGCTGCCATAGTCCTCTGCTTTTTATTTTGATCATTCAATTTCATTATTATGGAACTCATGGCAAAAACTGAGGTCAAATTTATTAATTGGAAAACTTCCAAACATTTAAATGCAGGAGTATTCTGTGGATTTACGAGGTAAATTGTTCTGTGGCACAGCTGCGTAGTAACAGAGACAGAAAGAATGAGAGGCAAAAATGTATTTGAGAGAGAAAGGAAACAGTGCAAGTTCATAGGCAAAGAAAGATTATAACTGCAGTAAAGAGGCCAAGTCCAATTCAGCTTGAAGACTGGGGACATGGTACACTGGTGGGATGGCAGTGTTAGGTTAACGGTTGGACTTGATGATCTTAGAGGACTTTTCAAACCTAAACAATTCTATGACTCTATGTGAACTCTTTTAAGGTGTTTCATTTGAATTAGCCTTGTTTAATATCGAAATATTCGTAAGAAAAGTTGAGAAGTTTTGCACTGCTTTGGCCTATGCTTCAATGCTAGGAGAAAAAAAAATCAGAGAAAAATGTTTTGTTTTATTTTAAAAAACCCCAACAACACACCCTGCTCTCTATTCCTAAATATATTGAAAAGAATATTAGCTTATTAGAAACAGCTCCCCTATTTTTTTCCTGTTGTTTTATGCTCCAAAATTCCTTTATGCAAATTGAACTGGGAGTAAATATTGTCATTCCGCTAGTGTGCTCATTGTATGAGAGAGGTAATCATCTAATCTAATGGGATTTGACCAGATAAGGCATTTTACCATCTTAATTTTCAAAAAATTTTGCAGCGCAGTACGATACTGTGATGCAGAGCTACTAGCATGTCCGGTCCATTCACATATATGAGTGAGTAGACTTCATTAGACTTTTAATCTAAAAGAACATTAAAACCTAAAGAGAGTAATGTCAAGAAAAAAAGGAATGACAGATTAGGAGTAAAATATCATTACTCTTCTTTATACTGGGGTTGCTTTGAAATTACCCTTTTGACTAGTAGTTGAATGGAATGTGAACCTAAATGAGTGTCTGTCTATGTTCTGTGGAAGTAGTGTGACTTCATTTGGGTTTCCTTCAAGCAGGACACGGTGACAGAAAACAGTAAGTAGTAAATGTACCTCTTATGATGAGGGAATAATATTCATGGTATGGATTAGCTATAGATGTATTCCTTTTGCATTCCCAGGGTGAAGAAGGGGACCAAGGACCCAGTGGTGAAGTGGGAGCTCAAGGCCCTCCAGTAAAGTATTTCCTCTTAAATAGCGTTACCCATTTGCTTTACTATGTCATATCTTTTTTTTTTTCTTCTTATTGTAAGAAAACAGATACTATAAAAATGCCACACACCTTTCTCTTGATTCTGCCATATTGTCTATGAATGAAGGTAGAATTATTTAAGTCCCTCCAAAAAGCTACATTATTGTGTGGCACAAAGCTCTAAATATTTCTATGGAAAGGCTTATTTTAAAAAGTATTTAATGTCCTAAATTTTGTATTGTGTTTAGACTGTGCAAATACTTCCTTTCCTGGCCTTCTTTTCCATAATTTTGATGACTCTGACTTCAGCCTTGCAAAGCTAGTGTTTATGTTTAAAACATATTTGACGGTGAAACTGAGGCTTAGCTAAGACTAGAGGATGAAGTACCAGCCACTGAATAACAGACTTTTTTTTTTTTTTTCTTCAGTTTTTTTCCCTTTTGCATGCCAAGGAAGTAGCCTTCAACCACACTTATGATTTTGGAATTATTTTCTTGTCCTGACTTCTTGTCACCTGACTTCTTTGTTCTGGCACATACTTCCTCAACTTGTTTCCTTGTGAGGAGCTGCTCTTATAGTTACCACAGCCGAATAGGAAACAGAATAAAAGAGTCATTCTAAGTGAAAGAAATAGACATAGACCTTAGGCATAACACATTTAATTTCTATAGTTTATTTTCTGATGGGGTCTTATGCTTTCTTCCTAGGTGTGAAACTATTGCTTTAATGCCATTGGTGTCCAGATGTGATACACTAGCTTACCTTGATGCACATGTCATCCAAATCCTAAATTACAGAATTCTCTATAAACATAAGACAACATAAATCTCTGGATCAGGATTAGAGAAAGAATAGAGACTAAGTAAAGGAAAGGGTGTAATCCTTCCTATGTCTGATGCTGAAGAAAGTATCCCTGGGGCCCTGGTGCAGAGAAAGTACTTGTGTGAGATGCAGCTTCTGCTGTCTGAAGAGCCAAACTCAGTTTGATAAAGTTCTTCTATCACTGTGAATTAACACAGTAGAATTAAAAAACAGTTAGAGATTGACTTGACCCTTTTTTTAAATGCATTACTCATTTCGCTGTTTTACCAGTTGATGACCTTACAAACAAGCTTTAAAATAATTGTTTCCTATTAAAATGTAGGATTAGTAATATGCAGAAAGTAATGCCAGATAGACAACCTATGGAAAAGAGCATAGACAATGCTTTAGAGGGAAGGTGGAGAGGCTGTAGACTGTTGTATTTTCTTCTGTTTCTTACGTAAATGAATATAAGTTTCAGATCCATAGAAGGGATTAGGAATTTGGTATCCACAGCAGCACCTGCAATCTAACACTTTTATATAATGCGTTGACAAGAAGACTTGCATTACATAACCACCTCTGGGAAAGGTGTTGCTTTTGATAGAAAGTAGCGGGCACGACAGAGGCCCTACTTCCATCTCTGACCCTGGAACAAGGATTAGCCTGGAGGTCTCTCCCTTGTTCGGCTGCTGTAGTCACTGTTACATTAATCATGCTTTTTCTCGTGTTTTGGGCTGACAAGGCTTTAAATGTTCTGTGCAAGACTCCATCTAGCTTCATTAGGATGAGGAAAGGGCTTCCCATCAGGAGTCTGGGCAAGGAGCAGGTTTGCCTATGCTGCATTGTCGTGCCTGTAACACAGTTAACACAGTTATGCATTCTTCTTGCAGGACAAACATATTACGGCTGGGGGTTTGGTCTCTCTGCAGAGAGGAGACCTGTCATGTAGTTTAAGCTTCTCAGGAATAGGAAAAAATTGAAGCCGAATTTTCCATGAGACTGTATTTTGAGAGGAGGTGGTGATAGTTATGATGCATCCTGCTGTACTAGCATGTCTGCTCGGTCCAGTCTCTCAAGTGTGGTAGGCATATAAACTTACCACATGTATTCTCAAAAAAACATGCCCAATTTTGTCTACTTCTAGAGTTCTATAAAGTCTGATGGTGCCTTTCTCCTGCATCCATCCTATACCTCACTTAAGACAATTTAGCACTTTTGCAAAAATAAATATTGTAATGCAGAAGTAGCTGGATTTTTCCTTTTATATTAAGAAAGGAGTAAAATAAGTATAAAGAAAGCATGTAGAACCCTTGAGTCTTCTGTCTGAAAAACAAGACAGTTCTGATGAAAAGATATAAGCATAATTTGAATATACTTTTCATTTTTAGGGCATCCTAGGTGTCAGAGGTATAACTGGTATCATGGGACCTAAAGGTACCAAAGTGAGTATTAACCTTTCTTTCCATAAAATGGCTTGGATATAAAAAAATTGACACTCCTGAATGTTTTTAAAGCTTATTTAAATTTCTCCTTTTTTCCCCCTGCGTGTTCTCACTCCTGCCTACTCTCTCTGTATTTCCATAGCTACTGTACTTCTGACTAGAAAGAAAGGCAGCTTGGTCCTTCTGATTAATGAAGTGCATGTACTCTTCACACCTTTCCCTGTGATCCTAGGATTTATAGTAGTTCGGCATGTATGCAAGCATGTAGTTAGCAAGATAGCAAGTTATAGCAGCTATAAACTATGGCATGTTTTATTTAAAGCTAAAATTTACTAAGTAGTCCCTCCTGTGATTTACATCTTCCTGAAGCCTTTTACTTCCACTGTCCCAGTTTTTGTCAGCGTTTTTATTGAGAGTTTGTTCATTCTCCATTCTTTCTGCTTCTTGCATCCTTTGTGTCTTAAATAGCTTCCAGTGGGATTCATGTTTATATGGGCTCTGACTTAGCTGGGTAATTTTTCTGCTGTTCATCAAAGTGATTTTAATTGTTATTTCAAAATTGACTGTTAGATTTCTATTTTTATGACCTTTCTAAATCTATGTGGTAAAATTTTCTGGAAGGAATAAAATGTAGCAATCATGCCATTTTTTCCTTCTCCAGAAATGAAGTTATGGAAACCTTATTCTGTGATCATCTATGTTCAGAAACAACGTCAAATTTGTACTGATTATTAATGTTCTCATGAGTGATCCTTCCTAACCTCTCAGACACATTTGTGAAGCTATTACTGTCTTTGCTTTTCTGGCCTTCTTTATATCTTCTAATTCTTCATGGTTATTTGCCTACGTTTTTGTGCTGTTTTATCTATTTGAAATATTTACTATGCCTGCTTGACAAAGGAGTTCCTTATTCTCTGTAAATATTTTTGAAAACATTTTTTTTTTTCCTCACCATTTAAAATTACCTTCAGGGTAGGAATTGCACAGTTGCCTTGAAACCTACGTGATAAAAATAGCTGCCTGCACTTGATTATTTCTATTCACATTTTGGTCCTATTCTATTATGTGGTTAAGGATATAGTATTATTAAGGATGATGCAGGCATTTTCTGAAGTAGCATGAAAAGGTCTACCTATCTGGTATGGTTTTTTGGAGAATGAACTAGATGTCACTTTTTGAATTACATTTTTCCATAGTTATAAAATATTGGCTTTCATAACTCCACAAAAAACCAAGATAGATTAAAAGTTTACTAAAATTCTTTGGTTTTGTTTTTGTTTTGGTTTTTTTTTTGAAGTTAGAGCTATAAAAAACCCCTCAGCTGTAGAGAAGTTGCAGCTCCCTGCAAACCAGGAGGGAGCATAAGCTGTTAGTGTTTCAGCGCTTCATTTTAATGTCTTGTGTTATCTATCTGTTTTGTAGGGAGCTCGTGGACTTGATGGTGATCCTGGTCCCCAAGGTCTTCCTGGTGCACCTGTAAGTAGAGAGTGTGTTAGCCAAATGCTTCTTATGGTCTACCCAGTTAGATATGAAGTCCTGAAACTTTGTGGCTGTGAATAAGAAAAACCTCTTCAATCAATTCCATTGATTCCCCACAGATGAAGAAATGACAGTGATGTCAAGTCTCTTACTCTCCCCAAGGAATTATGGGGTAGATGAACACATTTGCGCCTCTTAGTATGCTATTGTTACCTCTTCATTCTGAGTGCTACTGTGCATTAGGGTGGCTTGGAATTTTTCAGGTTCTAACCTGGAAAATATTCATTCATTAGAACAAAACCTGTACAGGGCAATTTGTGACCCTGCCCGCAACCCCCAGCTGGAATTTATGTTTGGAATAGCCAGTAACTGTATGGGTTGAAGAACTGAGTGCAACATCCTTTGCTTAGGCACTCCTGGATTCCTAGGGGATGGCTTGAGCTATGTTTTTTAAAATGTAGCTGTTGGCTGCAGTTTTAAGAAACTACATTTTTAAATGTAGTATGAGTTTAAGATGTCTGCTTTAACCAAGTGTGAATTGTACTGTTGTTGATTTACTGGAAGTTTTAGCTGGTAATACAAGTAAGCTTATTCTGGTTTTATTGCTAAAATAATCTTTTTTTTTTTTTCCTTGTAGGGGGATCAAGGACAGAGAGGTCCACTGGGAGAGGCAGGTCCGAAGGGAGAAAGGGTGAGCACAGACAAATTTCAACTCATGTTGACTTGCAAACACTGTTTACTTATAGCATATAAACATACAGCATAATTGGTAGTCTCAAAGTAATGCATATCTGAATGAGTATGTGTTGAAATGCTTTGCATCTGTCATTCCAATGTGTTTATTTTAATTTTTTAAAATTATTATTATTCTTAGGGCCCTCAAGGTACAAGAGGGATAAATGGTCTCCCTGGGCCTAAAGGAGAGTCTGTATGTATATTTAATTTCTTCATTTGCTTCATGTCATGCTAATTTGTATATCAGAGTGCTTGGGCAAAATCTCTCCAACAATACATTAATTTTTTTTTCTTTTTTTTTTCTTTCAAGGGCTTGCCAGGAGTTGATGGCCGGGAAGGGATCCCTGGAATGCCTGGAGCAAAAGTAAGGCACAGCTAGCATATATCTGAGCTTTGGTAGTGCCCTAGATTTGTTCACTCATTTGTGGCTTTTTATTATGCTGCTGCCTGTGGCTTTATGCATATTATTAGGGTAATTGAATGAACTTTCCCATCCTACAGATTCAAAAGTACTCCACCTCTGTGTTCCAGAAATAAAATTTTCCCTTTTGTTTGATTTGCATAAATTACTTAAAATGTTTTTCAGGGTGAACCAGGAAAACCCGGAGCTCCAGGTGATGCAGGGCTTCAGGGTCTGCCAGTAAGTATCTGATATTCTACCTTTGAAAGTTAGGCTCAGTTCAAACCACAGAAAGGCCATATATAGGTTTGTTCGATGCTGGTGATGGAGCAATTTAAGTGAAAACCTAAGCAAGAGGCCCAGGAAGAGTATGTGTAATGCAAGGGGAAATTCTGCTCTGTGTACCCAAGACTCTGCACAAAAGCCTAAATCTCCTCGTGATGCTGTGGTGCAGAAGTCGGTCTTACAAAACATTTGTGGCCAGCATGCAATTCTTTTCGGTTTTCTCATATCTGAGACCCTGAGGATATTATGGTGTGACCCCACAATTAGAGCTGATAATCGTTGTATTGACCAGTGCCAAACCTGTTCCCAGGGTGAGCTGGAAGAACCAACCTTCTAGTCTAACATATCTTAGATGAACAATCATCTCCTTTTGATATTCTGCTGGCTCAGAACATCTGGAATGCATCATGCTCATACTTCTTTCTGCAGGGGGTGGGGAGAGGGGGCAGTTTTCTAGTGTATCCCCTGTGGTGAAGTTACAGGGAATCAGTAGTGCTTTATGGACTCTTTTAGAAGGTAATCCTCGCACATTAACTCAGCAAGTTTGAAAACTGTGCCAACTGTCAGAAGCTAAATAGAAACTTCCTTGAAACACTGTGCTATAGGAGTAATTGCTGTGAGGATATAGTAAAGGAGCTGTATTAAAACAGAATTGGAAGTAAATTTGTAATATAAAGTGAGCTCTTAAGCTTGGAAGAAAATTTGGTGAAAGCATACTTCCTATGAGCTGTTGCACAGAGGTGAGGAAGGGATAAAATGTATAAAAAAGTATCTGTTAAACTCTCTATCTCCAGTCTCGGAATACCAGGACCAAGAATCTATTTCTAGTCTAAGCCAGAAAAATCCACAACTCCTCACTTTTCCCGGCTCCTTTTGCCAGTTTACGAAGTAGGAATAATACTGCTTATCTCTTACTTTGTAAATAGAAAGAATTCAGGCTTGGTCCATTATTGGATAAAAGTGCTTCAATATCAAGTAAAAGGACTAGAAATATCTTAACATGAGAAAGATGTTTTTTAACACCATTCCCAATCCCCCTAACAACAAATAAACACTGTAAATGTTATTTCTTTCAGGGTTTACCAGGCTCTCCAGGTGTGAAAGGCGTTCCTGGCCCAAAGGTAAGTCACACTGAGTGTTGACTTTCTTATAATACTGTATTTGTGCTTATCAAGTTCTGAAGTATTCAGTGAAATTATATTAACTTTCTGTTGTGGTAAGAGACAAGCCTTTGGCTGAAAGAATTAAATATACTGTTTTATCAATTCTAGTCCTTTGCTTTTTTATAGTTCTTTTGCTACATGATGTGGTTTTCGTTATTCCAGACAATAAATAATACCTAAAAAAGGCCATTTCCTTTTAAATTTGTGGAAGTAATTGCTAGAGGAGACATGTGACATGGGTACCTCACTACAGTTTGAAATGAGGGATATCATAATAAGAATAATATTTACAGCTGTTCTAAGTTGATTTAATCATAGAGATTCTCATCCCTATTTAAGTACCACCAGATTGCAGCATCAGTTCCAATTAAGTTTACAGAAGTATTGTATGACTGAGGTTGCGGAATGTTTCAGACAATAATGTTTGAGATTAGTTTTAAGTAATTGAAACATAAAACTAGATTCTGAAATTACATGGAACGGTGTTATCCTTCTGTGATTTGAGAGCAGGAATCAAGTCTACTTGGGATTTGTCAGTATGTAAACAACAAAAGAACTGAAATCTGACTTTTGAAAAATTAAATAGAAGGAATTAGGTGACAGTTAAGCAAAAACCAAAATAAAGGTAGAAGTTAAAAAATTAATACAGGCTGATGTTTTTAGACCTTATTGATTTCCTTATTTTTTATTTTAAAATGGAACAGTAAACTGTTGGCTTGGCTAATATTTTTCATCTTTTGTCCAACAGGGTAATAGAGGTCCCCCTGGGGTGCCAGGTTTGATGGGAAATTCTGGTAAACAGGTAAGATCATTAATCTTATTCAAAAGATCTAGGAAAATGAGAAGTTTTGCATTGTGCAAAAAAATCACTTCAAATTTGTTGCGTTCTCCCTATCCCCAAAACAGGGTGAACAGGGGCCAGAGGGAGAAGCAGGTCCAACAGGACCCCGGGGACCACCAGTAAGTATTGAATAAATTTCTAAGTGCGCATATGTAATATTGAAGTGTCTCAAGTTATGGTTGCTGAAGCTAACCATGAGATAAAAATACTACTCAGCACAAGTCCTAATTTTTAAGGTAAATACTAGGTGTTCTTTTACTTCACCTTCTGTACCAGGTGGATGTGCATCATCACATAGAGAAATCCAGAGGCATGTGTCCTATGACTGTTTCTGGCTTTGGTGATAAATTAAATTTTAAACCTTTGTTTATATTCTTCTGGTCTTCATTTTTTAAATATGCTGAGTAAAAGCCCAAGCAGAGAGAATGAGGGTGGTTTGTGACAAAATGCTGAAACCAAACTCCTGTTCTTCCACTGCAACAGTCAGCTCCCCACAACTGGTGTTGAAAAGCTTAAATTCACTAGCTGTCAGTAGATCACTTGCTCTTTTCTTCGCCTCTTAAAGAAGCTTGTGCTGTATATTACAAGTTTTAGCTGTATATTACAAGGTTTTTAACTTTGGACTAAATATCCAGAACATGAATTTTTTTACCTAGGACCTATTTCTAATGCATGTAGTGTGAACGGTGTGGCAAGGTATGAAGGAAAGGTAGCTGTCTGTCCTACCTAGTAAAGAAAATTGCTAGAGACTGTCCTCAGCCCCCTTGGTCAACTGCCATGGCATGGCTTGTCTTCATACTGCTAAACTCCCTTTACACAGCCTCGTGTCTAAGAGCAGGCTGTCAATCAGTCAAATTGCCTATTGGGAACAGTTTTTTGCCTGTGTTCCCAAAACTCTTCTTGGGTATTACCTCGGAAAGTCCAGTTTGCCTGAGACAAAAGCATGCTAACCATTGATCATGAATGATGGTGAGATGCTGCTCAGACCTGTGCCTTGGCTCTTTCTGGTTAGTATTATGAATGTAGCTATAGTGATGTGAAGTATAGTATTTACTTGGGAACACTGATGTTGTAGTTTCTTTCACTGGAGATTTTCCTTAACACTAGAAAGTTTCAGAAGACTGCAGAAATCATTGCTGGGCTGGTGGCTCACTGCAGGAAATAAATGTGCTAAGGAAAGTGAACTGATGGCACTTGCTAAGGCTCAGTGTTGAAGACAAAGGACAGCTGTTCCTGAGGCATGCTTGGGGTACTAGAGAGTCTGCTGGGTGCAGATTCCAATTCCCTCTAGGGTGGACCTGGCATGGATTGAAGTTACATAAGGCTGATCTAATTTCCCTTCTGCGAGGGATAAGAGGGTCAGTGAGTTGAAGAAAATTTTCACATACCAAAATTCAGTCTGACAGCATTGTCAAGGCTCCAGGCTCTGTAACCAATTGATTTTTCAAGCTTTTGTCTTGCCACTGATACCCTAGGGATACTTTCCTGGAATTTTCTGAGCTTCTGCTATCATACAGGGACATAAGAGCTTTACTCATGCAATTGTAGGGTTATCCTCATACGGGGCTTAGAGACAGGGATATATTTGTAAGGGTAGTTCATGGGTCAGGAATATCTTCTCTGAATTAACTCTTAAATGTACAGCAGCAGTCAGCCAAGTAACAGATTTCATTTTCTTTTGTTTTCTTCTGTGAGTTGCAATTATTATGTACTAGATGCATTAATTCATGAGGTCACATTTATTTTATACTGGATTTTTGCATAAGTGCTGTATCCACAGCTGCCTATGAATGATATAAAAAGGGGATTATATGACCATATATACTTATTAGGATGGAATATAGGTATCTTCAGCCTCCCATATATCCAGCTTGCAAACTTTTATTTTTGTTGTTTGTGTTTAAAAGCATTGGGTGCACTAGAAAACGTTTTCAGCCCTATTCTTCTTGAGCTGATATTTTGTACACTTGTAACAGGAATAAGAATTATAATTGAATTGGACCAAAGTAATTGCCCATTCTGATAATGCACTGTAATCTGCTAAACTATGCTTTTAATCCTTTCAATGTGAGCACGAATTTACAAAATCAGCAATCCATAGAACAGGAGTTGACATGAAAGGTTAATTATTAGTAACCCTGTAGTCTCACAGAAATACTTAATGCAGATTAAATACAATGATTTTTCTGTTTATCACTCTACAGACCAGCAAGACATCTGGATATCTTGCCTTTACTTTCTCTGTTTTACAAAGTGCACTCATTTTGGAAAACATGAGAACAATAGAACAAAAGCATAGAAAGAAAAAAACTTTTGGTCAATACAAAATGGAGAAAGGAAGTAAATTATTGATAATAAAGTAAGTTTGCATGTAGAACATTAAACAGTAATTTACTTCTCATCTATAGTTCCTTTAAAACTATAGGGAGCCTTGAATAATAACTATGTTTATCTTCCTTCTGCTCAAGATTACAGGCAGCATATGACTGGAATGGCTTTCTGTTTTCTTTTTGGGAACACTGGAAAAAACATTATTTCTACACAAAAAACTAGAATGATCAGGACTTTTTTGTTCAGGAAGGATACAGGGTTGGAGTATTGAAACTCAGTGAGCTTTGGTCCAGGTTGAGTTTGTATTTACTTTAAGGGCAGAATGAAGAGTGTTTTCTCTTTCTTCTGTGGCATGTACATGTAGCAGAAATATTTGAGCCTCAGCTTTTAGGACTCTGCCCTTACATTTCGAGGAAAAACAAAATCTGCTGGTTAAATAATTCTACATGCCATGATTTTCAAACTTCTAAAAGGAGAAATTTTGAAAATAAGTTGAGAAAAACTTTTATAGTTGCTCTAAAGAGAATTTTTCTTGTGAATATTTTTGTATCTTTTTCATATTTTGAAATTTTCTCACAACTTTAATATTTGATAGTTTTTGACCAAAGTTTTATAACCAAACACTTTCAAAGCATGAGGATTTTATGGTTACTATTCAGGTATTTTTCTCATCCCTTTCCTTCCTATTTTGAATTATCCTCTTTAGCACTCACCTCAGTTATTTTCTTTCTTCTTTACCCTTTGTTCCATTTCACTCCTGGTAATAGAAGACTCAGGTAGCAGTCAAGAGGGGCTGGACTTCTTCCTTGGAGTTGGAAAAAAACCTTGATGTTTTGCAGGATATGGAGAACTTTAGTCCCTTAATGTATGTAAATGCAGCAGCCACGTGAGACATCCTCTTCACTGTCCCAGTCCCTTAATGTATTGCTGCATGGCAGCAGCCACGTGAGACATCCTCTTCACTGTCCCATGTCACTTGCCCCTGTTCTTTCTGTCACTACTGGGGAAAGACAGCGTGGCTGGTAGCTCCAGGAGGGCCAGAACTGTAGAGGAAAGGACCTCAGTGAAGGTTTGTGGGGTGATAACAAGGCTGACTCTGCCAATATGGACAGCAGGCAGGTATCTGCACTAGGGAAAAATAACACACCTACATTTGTGTTATATTAAAAATTGCCTGACTTTTCAGCTTTAGCGACTTGCAAAAGACATCTTTTTGAGAGGAAATTTTCACTTCAACTAGCATGTAGTTTTTTGAGGAGCTGCACAATGGAGTGCTATTAAGCAATGATCAGTGACTCCGTGGGACAAGTTAATACTTCTGTGCTGTTTATCAAATAGCCTGTAGCGTCCTCTGGCATAAACCATGTTATTTCCATCTTATTTTCATTATTAAACAACTGTTGGAATGTAGTTGGAACAGTATTGTTACCAAGCAGCAGATTCAAATTTTTTCCTTTTGGAAGTCTGTAAACATTTACAATTTCACCGTGAAGATATTAAATGTTTGAAAACAAGATAACTAGCTCTAATTAAAAATAGGCAAATTCATGTGTTGGGAGACTCTTACCTCACTGCTGACAAATCCCTCTAGGAGGAAATTACTTTCAAAGGTACCATTTTAGTCTATCATTGCTTTTCCTTAAAAAACTTACATTGGTACCTGAGCAGAAAAAAAAGTTTTATTTTTGTTTATTTAGTTTACTATTCATCTGTTCAGTAAAACAGAAAAACAACAGGAGCAGCATGGAAGTTTTGTCTTTTGTTTCTAAATCAAGCATATTCTCCATTCCACTCTAATTGTTTTGTTGGTTAACATTATGTTTGCTTCACAGTGGGACAGACAATCCAAGTAATTACCAAACTCATTTGTGATTTAAACCTTTCTAAGCCAGTCATCATGGCAGGTGGCCTAAAGGAAGCAATTCTCAAACATCAGAGTGTCATTCCTAATCAGTGGAATTTAGCCATGCTCCCTAAGCTGCTTAGCCATTTTCTTTCATATTTGTTGAGATTTAGTATGATTTAATTTTTCATATTGTGTCTGCAGAAAATACTGACACCTCCCCCTGCTTTTTGATTCCTTGTTTTTCTTCAGGTATTTAACCTTTAAATTGTTAACATTTGGAGAAAATTTATCATCCTGTGATTTTGCAAGTGAAAAGAGAGCTTGGAACATTTTAAGTGACCGCTTAACGTGAAGTTCAATACTTGCCTAGCAAATTGAGCAAACTCAATTTGTATGCGGGCCAGCATATATATGTTGTTAAGGATTGAGGACGCAATACATGTTTTCCTAACCTTAGCAACAGAGGTTAAGTATCTAGCTGCCTCAGATTTGATACCGTAGCCCCTCTGAGAGACTTCTGAGGGGCCCTGGTTGGTTGGGCTGACTTGGTCTCCGGAGGTCTCTTTGTCTCTCTGCTCATTATAAAGAGGGAGCCTGGAGACTACCTTGGATTTGGTACTAAAACGTCAGACAACCTGAAGTTAGATGAGAATTCTGTTTTCAGCATCATGAATTACTTTCAGCTGAATAACTTTCTGAGTCTTTAAAGATATTTTTGTCTTACCTACCGTGAAATGTGTCTTTGGTTACCCTAACAATTGTAACTACAATCTAGCTTTTCTATCCTATTCTTTTTACATGACTCCAGCTGTAGTAGTGGGTCATTTTCCATAGTTGGTATTGGTGTAGTGATATTGGTATTGTGGTAGGATGAAATGTCCTTGCCTCCGTTTATATATGTTTAGGTATTAGTGTGCATGTTTTGTATATATAGTTTCAGAGGTGTTCCACCAGTGGTGAGTCATAGTTTACATTTAAATCACAGCTAAATGGGTTAGCATTTGCAGAGTCAAAAGAACAAAGTGGATTTCCATCCTACCAGGTATGCTTTTTATCCAGAAAACCTAAGCCTCTAGATGGATGTAACTAAACTTTCTGACCTTGCACAATTCTGCAGCGTGGTTTGGACACTTACAGACTATGTATCCCAGCCAAACATGATTAATATCTCCAAGTCTCTCCAGTTCTCATACTATCCATCCCTGTCTTTCTAAACTGCATGATCAGATTCCTGTCCACTACCTCACATTTTACCCCTCCACCTCCAACAACAGCTTCCTTTGACTTCTGGGCATGCTAGACCTCTGGATGTCAGCAGATAGCCTAATGTTGGTGGCTTCTAGCCAGTATAGACAGTAACCTGGGTAAAAAATTGCACTTGTTATGGAGTTAGTGTCCTAAAGCTGTCTTAGACATCAGTTAACACTATAGATACAGCTAGTATGGAAGGTCTCTGTCCTTCATACCTGGCCACAGCATCACCCTTGAAGGGAATGGCAGCTATTGGGCTGCTGCTTGTGCCCAAAGCATGATACAGTGAAGAGTACATTTCATGCTACACCTATCTCTTACCATTATCCTGAGCAGTACAATTTGATTATTACTCTGAGAAAGGTGCAAAGGTGCATTTAAAATCTAAGAGAAAGTTGCTGTATATTTACTCTTCTAGAAAATAATACTTTATATTTTTGGATGCTTTTTAGTACTGTACGGAAGGTCAAAGGAAGAGTCCTGTTGATGCTTCCATGGATAAATCCTTGCACTTAAATTAATAATTCCTCTGAGATTTTGGATGAAAAAAAGATTATAAGTTAAATTCTCGCAAGTATATAATTGACAAATGGGTTACATTTTGCAAAAGACTTTGAAACACTAAGTTTAAAAATGTTCATTCCAAAATGTACTTTGTGTATTCCTTGATATTCTTCAGATTTAATTCTCTATGGCACTGCTATTGAATATACTAAAATTGGTATGACAGATATTATAAAAACAAAATTCTTAAATAGAGGAGAGTTTATTACAGTATACACTGTCAAGAGATTCTAATTAGTGTTTCAATTATCTGGCCAGCTAAGTGAGATGCAAATTACCGAGGGAATATTCTCATTCTTATCATTGTTCTACTCAATTGATCAACAGGAATTCAATAAACCAGTGAAAGAAACTGTTTTAGCATGAAAATGCATTCTGTCACTGCTTGTGGGAGTTCTACAGAAGAATCAAGTTTTCAAAATTTCAGTAAGGATGAAAACTATCCCAGACAACCTAAAGGAAGGTCTACTGTAAATCCTGTATTGTCCCCTTATGTGTGTTACATTCAAAGGCTAAATATAGATCTTACAGAACTGTGAGAGAGACATTAAATCTTCATTTAAATGTATTCAGTGGTCCTACAATCCTACCTTGGAACAAAGGGAAGGTGGATTTTGGTGTAACCACAGTCTGTGGAACCATCAGCTGCGGAAGGGCTGCATCCTGGTATTGTTCGGTACTGCGGTGCTGTACTGCCATTTCACACCCTGCTGTTTCACATGTATGTGCCTTGCCATCCTCTGGGAGAATGACCCAAGCAGTACTCACATGCTGAGCAATAGTATACTTAACAGAAATCAATTATCGATACTGTTAAAGTACTGGAGCAGTCCTGGACTTGCTTTTGGTCCACACTGTCTTGACTGAAACAATCTCTAGGGAGTGGCCAAGCTTTGGAAAACTTCAGGGGCCTTTTGCAGTGATAGTCTGCATGCTGCCTCCCTTCATTGTAGGCCAGGAAATTTTACCAGTGTGGGTGCAGGTCAGTCTGTCCCAGCTCACTCTAGAGTAGCTACTTTCCCTCTTCAAGCATTCCACCTCTAGGAAAAGTAGGAATTTTGAAATGTGTCAAAAGTACATAAAACATACAGATTCTAGTCCCTTTTTTTGTTAAACCCAGGGCAACATGCCCATTGATTTGTGAGTGGCCTGCAATTACGGACTGTGTTATATATAGGGCTGCTGTGTAAGAAAGGTAGGCTGAGGACATGGCCAAGCTACCTTCTGTTCTGATTATTGCCTATGAGTAACTTGGAACACAGAGGAAGGTTTCATCTGACCAAGTGCAGATGTCAACACCTGAACCAGTTATTACAGAAACCCTCTTATAGGCTGTGGGGAAAATGTAGATGCTTCTAGGACATGACTTGTGAAGCATTTTAAGTGTTTACATGAGGACATTAAATGCCTTTTTGTCTTCAGCCCCATATGAAGGGAACCAAGAGTAACTAGCTCGATGTAAAGCCTGTCTCAGGGCCATTTCAGTCAGGTATAACTTGGAGGAGGCTTTACAGTCTTTTAAGTTATGCCATGGGCCACTGGGATTCCTGATTGTTCTTTGGGTTACAGTTCCCCTCTTACTTGCTAAAACACAACTCCCGCAGATCTTGCAGTGGTGGCCCTTAGTTTGAAGTAATCTGTCCATACAGACATAATGTCAGTGTTTACAGGAAATGCCATCCTTTTGTATTCCAGTCTTCTGTATACTAACTTTCTTTTTTATCACCTTAGAAAAGCATTGGTGTTTGAAAAAGTGCCTGTAGTGTGTATTTGACAAAAGAATTTTTTTCATTTGGAATATTTTTCTTGCATTCTGTATGACCAGCAGAACCTTTGATGTGCTTAAGAGGTTTATTACATGACTTAAACTCTATGGAAAGTGACATTGCTTTTGTTGTATTAGCTGTATAGTAATCAGACATGAATGTTATGACATATACAAGGAGACTAATTTCTAATACTGATCATAATTTTAATCATTCTCTTCCCTGCAACAGAAATGTAGTAGTATTCCAGGTCAGAGATGTAGAACAGAGTTATGTCATTAAATAACAGGTTTTCAGAAAGGTTAATGTATCTTCTGGGTTGTAAGATGAAGGTGATTTAGGGGGCTTTTTTTATTTTTTAATTTTTTTATAACATAAGAAAGCTTCTAGAAATTATGCAAAGTGCTTTAAAAGAGTAGTGATTTTAACACTATAGGATATTTTGAAGGAAATGAATGGAAAAGTCTGTTTATGTTCGGTTCTCTGATCTCTCCAGGATACCTAATTATTTTTTGAATTATAGAGTTAGTTTTCCTAAGCTTGTGTGAGAAGCTGTCATTGCATTTATGACCTGGTGTAAAAGGCCATGTCTGCCATCTCCTTTTGTTGTTCAGTATGTCACAATATTTCATGGGATTTTTTTTATTATGAAGAAAATACACGTATTTAAAATTATCTATTGCATACAGCACTAGAATGCTTAGATCTGCTTTTATTCAAAATTTTCTATAACAAGTTATCTACTTGCATATCTAATAACTTCAATTCTTGATATTTTATGATCTTAAATTCTATGTTGTGCTTTTATAGCAAGTACCCCTTATGTATTCACGCAGTGGAAGCAAGAAAAGTGTCTCAAGTGAGACTTAGGCTTGTGTTGGGACAGTGTTTGAATTTCTCTGTGTAGGTATATATCTGTTCAGGTGAGAGTAAATGTACAAAACTTATTGAGCTGTTCTGCAAGGTTTAATCATAAGAGACAAAACCTTTTGAGAAAGGTACTTTAGTTCAAAAATTGTTTAAAATCTTCGAAAATTTGACTCAGTGTCAGGCTTACCCAGAGTATATATTCAAATGGTTGCACTAAAAGTTGGGGTTATAACACTAATGTGAATATGATGATCTGAATGGATAAATGTATTTGAAGTGAAGATATAAAGTAAAAATCCAGTAAAAAGCATACTTACACTTACCACTATTATGTGATTTTTAAAGATTATGCTTCCCTGTAACAGTTTAGACTTTTTTTTTTCATCTAAATGAGTTTTTTAAACATGATATTTGCACACACTTTTCACATTTTTCCATTGTTCATATAGGATCATGGGCTTTTAAGTATGTGGTCATGTGGGAGTTCAGTTGATGAAACTAAACAAAAGCCTAAAGCTAAGCATGCGCATCAGAGTTTGTCTTAGTAAAGTAAATGTGCTTGTGACAGGTAACTCTCAGGTTTGATTCCATGAAGGGGACTTGATTGTGCATAATCAGTCAGCAGAATTGATTAATTTAATCATTTAATGACAACTAAATATTGTATGATATTGTTAACTAAAAAAGTTTACATTTCTCTGGAATTCTCACTATTTTTAATGCATGTGATACTTTTGCACTAATAAACAGAAGTCTTGATTAAAGCCAACTGCTAAGTAGTGTAATTCACTAAACATTAAGGAAAAAAAAATCATACTTTATTCCCTGTTCACAGGAAATATTTCAGGAAGTAATGGTGTCCTTCTATTTCCTATAAGGGTAGCAGAGGGGAGCCAGGTCCTGCGGGTCCTCCAGGTTTACCAGGGAAATGGGTAAGCAGTTTATTTACATATTCAGTGCTCATGTTTACTTTCAAGGAGCTATGGTATCATCTGGAACTACACTTACCCATTTATCTATGCAGGGAACTGAAAATAACGTTGAAACGAGTGATTGTCAAGTTTCTTTTTCAGTCCTCTGTGACTGTGCTAATATTAGCAAATGCTGTTTTAAAGTATATGGAGATGTGTGGGACTTTTTCTTCTGTTTAAAAAAACATAAATCCTGTGATGTGCAAAGTTGAGTTGCGCACTCCTGTGTGGGCTGTGTGTACTTGGGGAACGGGAGCAGTGAAAGACTGGCTTTCTGCTAACAGCTCTGTGAATGGAGCAGATTATGAATGCCACCTTTTACCAGTGCTCCAGCAGTATTTACACAGTAACAGTCAGAAGCATAGCTGGGGAGGTTTTGGCTGAAAGAGGCTGCTGTTACAGAGGAATGCACAAATTACAGAGTACAAGATCTTAGGAAGCATTTTTAAGAGAACCATACTGTTGTCGAAGCACTGGAGGGTGTAAAGCCCTGTAAGCCATTTCTATTGTGTTTGCCGGCAATAAAATAATAATATAATGCTCTTTAAATGGCTGTATTTTGAATAAGCTCTATTTTCATTAGGTAATTGTCTTTCATCAGGTTAGGACTGTTCTGGGAATAAGATTCCGCCCCATCTGCTTGTCAGGGTATGACCCTTAGTTGTTCATTCTAAAACAGATTGGGTAAGTTTACACCCTTGCCTTATTTTCACAGGGTCCCCAGGGTGATATTGGACTTCCTGGACTGCCAGGTCCTCCAGGCCTGCCTGGTGGTAAGGGTGACCGGGTAAGAAATGCACTCATACATACAGACAGTTTGATGTCAGGAGTAAATACAATAGTTTGAGCATTTTTTGCGGTTTTTACATGAATTAATGTCTGGTTTCTTGTTTTGTGTGTAGATCTATTAACTGCTTGAAAGCAGTGCTCTAGATGCCCATTTACTACTTGTAGCTCATAAAGTGTAGAGGAAAATTCTTGACAGTGTTACTTAAGGGACTGAAATAAGATTTCTGGAGTAAGTATTTCCTTTTTTTGGAGTTTGAATCATTTAAGGTCCTAAATCATGTTGCAAATTATTGACGTGGCCAGATCTGAAATTGTAAGTCAGGTTCCGTGGCCACTAAAGACCTTTGGAACTTCAGCCCTGGTCTATAGTAGATACAATGTCTTTTACATACGTCTTAGGACCTGCTATGGAAATGCACAGGCTAATGCAGCTGTTTAGACACTTATATGTACATGCACAATTACAGGATAGAAGTACCTCTTCTATTTTTTTGTTAGGAGGGAAGAACTGGGCCCTGGAGATCTCGCATACCTGCAGAAGGTATCGCGTTGCTGAGTAAATGTCAGTGAAGACGATATATATCTACAAGAAAATATGTTCCTTATCTTCTCTTGCTTATAGGAGGCTACAGAGGATGGAATTCACTCACCAAATTCAGACATCTTTGTTACAGAAATCATAGAATAGAATAGAAGAGAAATAGTCAGTTCTACACTGTGTTTTGTCCTTCTTACTTGAGACGTCTACTTCAGTATTGAATGATTTGCACTTTTGAATTGCCTCTTACTTTCCACTGACAATCAAGGAAGTATAGAACTGTTAGTGAGACATGGGTATCACTGCTTTAGACGTCTTTAGCTGAACAGAGGAATCCTGCCCCTGGTATGCTCCCAGCACACAGCGTAGAGTGACTAGGTAGGGCTTGCAGTTGTTTTTGGCAGTTTTTGAAAACTGCTCAGGTCCTTAAAACCAAGTTTCTAAGTAAGTCTTTATTGTCATTGAGGTATTTCTCATGTGTTTGGGCGTTTTTTTGTTGTTTTGTTTCGTTTTGTTTTTAATGCTGAGATCAGGAACATATGTTTCTAGTCAAATGCAAGTATTGACATAAAGCAGTCTCTTTTTATTAGATTGGTAATGATTCATAATTTAGAATTCTCCAGAGAGAAATTGAAGGTACCTGAGGAAGAAAATCTGGAAGGAAAATAACTAGTATTTGTTGCAGCACTGACAATCTCCCTCCAAAGATGCGTGATTTTCCTCATCTACCGCATAAAGGGTCTGGACTTCTAGGATAAAAGCAGAATGTACATGCTGTAAACAGACCCAGTGAGATGCAGGCTACACCCAGGAGGTTTCTGTTTATGTAACTGGCAGATAACAGTATCTATGCCTGCAGCTTTTTTTTAAATCCTAGAGTTGGCTTGATGTCCTCTGCAAATATCTTAAAGTCCAAAAAGCTATGCTAGAATTGATCTCATCCTGCGATTGCTTTTTAGCTTTCCTGTTTTGAGACAAGTGTCAACTGGATCCACTCGTATCCTTGATTAATTTTTTTTTTTCTTCAGTTACATAAAGGCTGGAGTGAATTTTCTGGGGAAGACTTAACATGGCTGCAGCTTTGCCAGTAGCACTGATCTGCAGCATGTATTCCATATAAAAATAAATTGTTATCAAATTCAAAGCTCCAGTTGATGTTGGTGAGCATCCAAGGATAGTTTCCCACCAGTGATGTTCTCCATCTTTTTTTTCACTCTTTGTAGGACATGGTCTATCTTCTCTGCATCATGATAGATGGTAATCAGGGTTCTTTATTGTTTTGAATTCGTTTTAGCAATTGACACAGGTCATCATGTTGCAACAGTTTTCTTACCAATGTGAGATTCATTCCAATGGGGGTAGGTAATAAATCTTGGTATAATGTATAGATAGATTGTAACAATTCGTGGGTGGTGACAGGAGCTGAATACGAATGACAAACATTTTCTTCAGTATCAAGGCAAATGTCTTGGGCCTTAATGGTACTTCACAAATAAATCCTTGTTCCTATACAACACATGTCACATCAACAGTTTGCCACTTGTTCCCATTTTGTTGGGCCCATTCTCTGTGTTCTAATGGGTAGAGTACAGTTCCATTGTGATTTAATCCCAGCACAATGATTGGGTATATGGTGTATACCGAAGCATTGCATATTGTTAAAATAACGCTTTACTGTTGGTGCACTCATAAGTGAGATTGACTAGATACACCAAGACTGCAAACCCTTTTCAAATGGAGTCACATTTTCCCAAATTACCTTTCAAATCTCAGTGGGCAAGGTGCCCTCATCACCTTCCCTTATAATTGCCGCTACAGTAGATTGCACCATAGCTGAGCTTGGATACAGCTAAAGGCTAGAGGGACATTGCCTCTACAATTAATTGGTGGTCCTTCTCCTTAGTTCTTTCCCGTTTAGGCAATATATAAGATAAGAGTCGTTGACTAGTTCCCAGTGCCAGCGAAGAAGATCGAAATGGATGTTCTAATTTATGCAAATAACTCATTACCAACCTTAATTTTTTTGCTAAAACTTCAGCATCTATGCTGGTTAATACTCCTAATCCTGTTCTTAAGACACCAGTCACATCTCTCCCTTGTTTGTTTTGGAGAGGTGAAGGTTCGCATGTGCAACCATACCAACCATGCTTTATAGGATTTATTTAGGAATGGTGAGCAGGTAGGTTTAATTGCAGAGACTATAACCTGTATGGATAGCTCCACTCTTCTGAGGGACTATGATGGATTAAATAGCACTTGTTGCTGGCCTGTATATTTAATAGCATGGGGTCCGATTTCAGAAATCAGCGTATATGTAGTTTGGTCAGTAGTGGGAGCAATAAAATAGGGAGTAGGTTAACAGGCAGTATGGGTATAGTGCCAACATATATATATGTTGGTATAGTGTCAGGCCTGGTAATAGGTGTTAGTGTGACCTTTAAGGATAGTCCATTTCCGTTATCTTCCCCTGTATCTGTCCACAGGCATACTGCTTCTACAGTTGTGTCATTAAAGAGGAAACTAATTATACTGGGGCATGAGAAACAGTTTGCTCTGCCTTTGATTGAGTTTGATTTGTCCTTTTGATGACTATGTAGATGTTTCCCTTTGAATAATTTGTTACTTTACATTCAATAGAGATTTTTGCCACCTGGTGTAGCAGAAATAAGGTGACTTTTATTTGCTTTTACCATTGTGTGATTACCAGTGATTGTCCTTGTTAGATTTTTGTCTTGGTTTTCCCAATATTCCTGTATTCCCATAGATTTTTAAACATGTATGCCACAGAATGTACTATAGTTACCATATTGATTATCATAAACAAAAGAATTGGAAGTTTCCATTCCGTATGTTGGGCTTGTTGACATGTGAACCGAATTTCATCCGTGCTGGTGATGATTACTTCTGTGAGAAGGAAAAGCAGTCTTCTGATGGTTAACCTGATCTCCAGGGTGGGTGTGCTGGTATCATTCCTGGTATCGATCCTGAAAACAAAAAACCAATACAAGTCCCAGGGGGATTTTTCTGGACTGGTTACCCCTTCTAGTTAGTGGCTAGGATGTATCCACCCAGCTCTAATATGATGTTTAGCTCCATTGCTATCTTTTGCTTCCCAGGCCAACGGGCCGTGGGGTTTTGTTAGCATCACTGGGACAGTGCCAATTTGTGGTAAATCTACCATAACGGATTGCCCTGGTCGGAGGGCAGTGGGGTACATGTTTACAACTGATGGAGATGCTTCATAAGGTGCTGACAGAAAGAATGACTGGGCTCCCTCTTAGTCTGCATTGGTTATTCAACTGGTGAACCACTTCAGGCAGTTGAGTATCCCAGTGGGGCTCGTGTGGTTTAAGACTCCTTTTTAATAGACCATTTGCTCTTTCTACTATCCTGTTTGATTTGGGATAGTAGAGGGTATGGAATACCCATTGACATCTTCCTGCTTTGCCCATTTCTGCATTTACTTACTGGAGAAATGTGAGCTGTTGTCACTTTAGATCACATCAGGGGCTGATAGACCTGAAAATGAAGAGGCTAATCCCTGATGGTGTTCTGAAGGTGGCCTTCTGATATCTAATTCCCATAATTATGCCTGAGACAACTTCTACTCCTGTCAGAATATACCGATACCCTGAGGAGGGTTTAAAGGGTCCAATGTAAGAAATTTGCCTTGTTGACCGTAGGGTTTTTTCCTTTATTGAGATGTAGGGGAGGTGCTTTGGCAGGGTGATCCATTTGCAATTTCAGTTTACATTGGGGGGCATCTGTAAGGATGATTTTACATGTTTTCCTGTCTAGAGGCCAACCTTGGCTTTGAGCTGCAAAATAAAGTGCTTCTCGGCCTGTGTGGCCTAATTTCTGATGCAACCATGCTCCCGTTGGTACAATTCGGGGTCTGGCATGTCTTCTGTTTTCATTCTCCTAATTATGGCTAATCCATCTGCTTGTTGGTTCCATTTTGTGGCTGACTGGTCATTTTTTACATGGGCTGTTACCCATCCTAGTTTAAATGGCACTTGTCTAGCTATATATAATAATTGCCAATCTTCAGTTCTCCAAACTGGAGATCTATTTACTTCCCAATTCAGGGCTTCCTACTGACAAAGTCTTTGAGTGGCACCTGCCCACAGGGCATAGGAGTTGACATAGATGACTTTTGCTCCATTTTGTGCTGCTAAAACAACTGCCCTTAATTCTCCTACTTGTGTACTACCTTCACATTCTTCTATTACTTGTTCGCTTGTGGTAAAGTCTAGCGCAGTGGCCTTAGACCACCACCTACTGCTTACTCTCTTTGCTGAGGCATTGCTAAACCAAATGCCTTCAGCTGGTGTTCTCTCAGTGTGGGGAAGTGCATTTAGAATCAGCGAAGCTTTAAATGGCTGGTTTAGTGCTCATGAGTTGGCGTTTATAGGCATTTGTAGTGTGGACGTTTTAGTACACCCTTCAGTCAGTTGTAT